TTACCGATCGTATGGAATCCACTAATTCGGAACAGCAAGCTGACTTTACTAAGCAAATCTGCCAAACCGCCCTAAATAATTTTGCATCCGTCAATCTCGAGTATCCTTAAAATGTAGTTAAATGCAAAGTTATATGCTGCAAGAGGGTCATCTGCATAAACACATATAAGGCCACCAAATCAGATGAAGTTATCTGGTGGTCTAAATTTACTATAGGAAGTATTACCGGTGTAAAAAACTCGTACGGAGTTTCCCCGTGGCAGTGGGATTTGAATGACTTAAACCAGAGCACTAAACATTGTCTCATGTTGCCGCTTTCAAATACACTAATTAATTGCGCATGCTGTCGACCTCTGAGATTAAATTACTTCAGCTGACGATATCAACCTTCAGGACAACTAGCGGCAACGTGAGTAATTGCTGTAAGTTCTAAAAATACTAGTCACTCCTGAAAGATACAGTGATTCAGCAAAAAATAAGGCGTCATTTGTCTTTTTTAGCGCAATTTATTTTACGGTATTTTAAAAATGCCATTTTCTCATTTATTTTTATGTGCTCTGTTGTATTGCTTGTCCCACCACAGTTCCCCTCTCTATGCTTAATTGTTTGAGTTAGGTACTAAAAGTTTACGCTGAAAGTGTTATATGCCCAGTCAATACATGACCGACGACAAGGGGCTATTTCTAACTTTGTTATTTTTCTATTAAACTCAACTTTCCCGCATAGTTTCTTGAGCACTAGCGGCAGTTACGGTTCCTGAAACAGTTGTCTGGTTTGCATTTGTCCATTTATTGTTTCAGCAACATTATCACAGTGATTTATGCACCAGGTGAAATTGCTCTAGAGACGAATGCACATAAACGCGCAACTAATATGGAAGGAACTGTCCGTCATATGAATAATCATAACGAAAAATCAACGAGAGTGTCGAATCAATTTTTAAGCACGAAACCGGAAATTTGAGTTCTTGAATTTGTTAATTTTCAGCTGCTTGTTGTGTAATAGGTTAGTCAACTGAGTAATAAAATGCATACCTTTGGAACTTATGCCTATATTATTGAAAAAGTGATCGTTTACGTTCGTCTATAAAGGCCTTCTGAGCTCGTCTAATGTGTTTCTGATATTATCGACTAGACAAACCCGACGCGCGGCGACGAAACTTATTTCGAGTTCAAATATTCTATGTTTCTGTTAAACAGCTACAAGTTACAGAGGGTTACATATGGAAATACGTTTTGAAAGATCCCCGCGGAGCTTCCTCTACATCTTCAAGCCAATTATGTCAAGTGTATGCAAGCCAACGAAAACGTAGTCACTTCACGAAATGCTATGGCCGTTATTTATGCGTATTAACCTGTATATTCCTTAATAGAGGCTTCATTTTCTTGTGTAAAGCCGGCTCTTAGCAAAAACATCAAAATGCACCAAATCCTGACGAAAAAAATGATCGTGCAATGTAAATATCGATTTCTTGTATACTGGACGTAGGTAAACACCGCTAAATCCTTTCCATTCTCCCACCTGTCTTCTTTACATCGTGCTTGCTCAGGTCATTTTCAATGTCCTGGCCACTTCCGTCTTAGCGATGTTTCTAGATTTTGTAAAACTCTTTTTTGTCTCTCACAAAATAAATTTGTTTACTATTCGTTCTGAGGAGTGGGCAATAACTGTTAGCTAACTTGCTAGCATATAGCCTCGTATTTTGATAGGAACCAAAGTGGAGTGGACGAAACCGTTTTCCCGTCCAAATGTTTGCTGCTCTTTGTTTTTTCGCATAGCTGATTAAAATTATGGTTTTTTTTCACTGCAGATAGCGCGGATACCTTCCTTGCGTAAATCACTGTAAAATAATCTTACAAATAAACTACTTTCGGTTATTTATTTGGTACTATATTTGATCCATTTCACTACGTCCATGCAAACTTTTGAGTTTTAAATTGTTGGTTAGGCCCACCCGTAACCCCTAAAACAAATAGAATGGAGATGTTGGCGTGTATGATTCCTACTGCGTTGTGAGCTATGCAAAAAACGAACATCTGCTATATGTATCGAAAAATGCAACATTGTTTTTGTTAAAAAAGACAAAGGGCTACTCGGACGGGACTCAGGCCTGCCCTGCGAACGCAATCATATGCTAACTGGTTAGGGCCTGCGGTCATAGCGGTAAAGGCACTACGGTGTTCAAACGGTTAACTTTGAGAAAAATGACATCTCAGCAAATTCAAGAATAGCTTTATCATTACTTGGATCTTTAAAATTCTAAGTATTAGTAGCATCTCCTTCGCAGCTAGTAAACAAGCGAGCAAGCTATTTTTCTGAACTTTCCCACAAAGCTGTTACGATAGAGAATCCCAAAGGCACAGGAATAATACAAAGTGATATAAACTAAAAGCGATGACAAAAGAACAAATTACATTATTTATATTTACTGCTCTAGTACCAAATGTCAGCAATATGCCGATATATTCCGAAATTTATATACCAGGAAATGCCTATAGGCTGAGTGGCTGAAATATTCGCATTTTATAGTAATTCCAGGAACGGTCAGACGGCATTTTGACTACAATTTGTCAGTGAGTGCCAAGTGCTGAAAAGCAGAATTAATAAGTTGATAGTACGTGCTTACGCGAGGATGGCATCAAGTTGGTGAGGGCGTACGCAGAGAAGTCAAGCTTTCCGGTCATTGCTGCAGCTTGAGATACATAGGCTATAAGCCAATAAGCACAGTTTCATAAAATGGGTTTTGACCGAAGTGTGTTTTTGGTGGTTATACGATCTGACATGCTTCGTGTTGGCGGCCATTGTTATTTACCTAAACATTTATGTTTTGTGATTTAAGTTGCGCTTATCGGCCTGAATGTTCCAAAATATCATTTAAGAGAGCGTTTACTAAGCATATCGCGTGGCAATTTAAGAAAACGAATTGGACAACAGGGAATGCAAGTGGAAATGTTGTCTCATCGAAATGAGCCATGTTGGACGTCAGAATCAGGATCGAACTGTACGACGAAAACGATGAATTGGAGTTGCATAATGCTGCACATGACTTTAACGATGTGTGCAAGGCTAGAGTAAGTGCAGTGTAAGTAACCTAGGACGACGCGTGGAGGAAATGCTGACCAAAGGGGAGAATGGGAGTTTATGGTGTTAGATAATTTCCGTAAACATCCGACGGCCGTCCTTAGTAGCGACTTAAGTGTGCAAAACCATACGCGGGACTCATTGAATACGATTCCTTATTTTATTACCAAAACAGTGGTGAATTCTACGAAAATAGACACTTCTCTGAAAAAAAACAAAAAGGTAAGCAGACTGCTGCCATGCATTTTCTAACGGAAATATTTCTCCAGGGCAGTTTTCCACATAAAAGTGGTGTCAGATGATTGATCAAAGTTTTGGAAGCAATGATACACTATGTGGCGACCGAATATCGGTTGAATCAATTCAACTTTGCTGGGCACAAAATAGTTTCCACACAACGAGCATGTACAAGATATTCGCAGGTTGGTTTCTGTAATCCATCGAACCGCACGAATTATTCAGGAGTTTCCTGCAAGTTATGTGCGAAAAATCACAAGACAGCGAATTTCGTTGGTGGGGTGGGAACAATCTTTAAGGTTTCCAGCAATGCCTTTTTAATCGTTGCAGGCAAAAGCCGAGGCTTTTCGAATAATCAACTTAACCTATATTATGAGAGATGTTTTAGCCAAGCTTTCCTTAATTTTAAGAACTACGTGCAGAATGAAGTGTGAGCTTGGTTTACGTAATGTCCTGGGTGGATTTCATACGAGCCAAAGAGTCTTATACACATGGGCACTAGTGGCATGAATATGGAAAAAGTGCATGATCATACATTGCTGGTGTATCTTTCGAAACATATACCAGCATGATGCGAGCACAGAGATTTTGACATAAGACTAGCATGTTGGTATGTATATACCGGAACTAAACCCGCAATATTACGGCCTTTTGCCCTAATAGCATTCTAATAGACCCTCTGGTCCAAGTGCTGCATGAATGCAGATCTGGGCGGTATTCCTTGCGTTGACTGGGAGGTTACAAGACTTCATTGAAATCAGTGGTCGAAAAGCTTGTTGTACGGGTGTGGATTGTCAGTGCGCACGTATGTGAGCGCCCAAGACCGGGCAAAAAATGGGCCTAGGATCACTAGGACCTTGCGTAACGCAAGGATATT